GTAGGATGCTAAAATTATGGAAGTTTTCCAATTATTATTTTTTAATCTTTAGCTATCAATATTGCTTTTTTGTTCTTAATTGCTTGCTTTAAAAATAGTTGTTCCTTTTGTTACTACATCTGTTATTTTAGGGTTAACCCACTTTGCATGCCCCAGAACTATACCTCCCTCATAACAAAGAGAAATGGATAAACAAGAACATGATGCAGTTTTCTTATCTGACAATTATATACAATAGCATTCCCCGTATGGTTTCTGTGACCAAAGTTTTGATAACCCTCTTTTTAAACAGCTCTTAATTGTCTTTTAAATTTATAGAAACAGACAGTTTCAAATTTTAGCATCACCTTTTACAGTGCTGATATGTAATGATAAGATCAACACTAGCATCATAAGCTTTCAGTTTGATAGAGAAGAGTCATCTATCAAAGTTGTATGTGATTTAACTAAATAGAGTGATTAAACTCATGCAATAACATGGTGCTTTAGTACGGCCAGTTGTGTTCTGTGTCTGTAAACTTCATAGCTAAGTGTCCATTATTGGTCATAGTTGCCTATCATTGCTATTTCACCCTAATCATTTGTTTGTTGATGACTTATCAATATTGGGGGGGAGATGGATTAAGCATCTGGAGATGGGGGAAAGAGTGGATTAAGCACATTAAAATGATGTTGAATGAACCTAGCAACATGATTAATTATACTTAAGTTTCTTTTGTTCCCAAAGTTTGGGAATGAGGTTAGTGGTTCAAAAGTCCATGTTTAACAAAGCTCCTTAATGCTTGTGGTGAATTTTACATGAGAAATAAATTGGTAAGAGTCGTGTTAATAGAGATACTCTGTACCAATTTACTAATCATTGATGAATGTTAGGCAGTTCCCTACCATGTCTGCAGGTATATTTATTCAAGAATAACACCATCTTTTAGAAAATGTCAGTTTTCTTTTTCTATCACTAATTTAAAAATTTTACATTTTACACCAGTCAAAGTTTTCTAGGTAACTAACTTAAAAAATGCCTTTTCGAAATCTGGCTGATGTCTTCACATAGTTGATGAGGGTCCCTTATGTTATTGGTGAGAATCTAAAACAGTGAAGAGCTCGTGTGTATGATCTATCATGAAAAGTAAAAATGTCTTAAGGCTTTATGTGATTGGAGGGTTTTTTTTGAGTTTTAATCAGTTCAAAATCATCCTGTATGTGAACACACTTGATTGTGCTACTGAATCTGCAAACGAAGAAATAAGCTCCTTATTAAAACCTTTTTTTCTCTTAGACCCAGATGGGTATATTATAATAATATTTGTCAAGATGTGATAAAGCAGGATTCTGGAGTCTGTAGTATAAGTACTTCCATTTTTTCCCTCTGCTATGGGTAGCGTCTGTTAGCTAATCAAAGACCTTTTAATCAAGTTTGGAGTAGATGTTTATAACCATGTCCTTTTTGGTAAGTATATTGCCACCACCATTTTTAATTAAAAAAATATTTTGCAAAATTATTCAGGATGAATAGTGCTCACTTTTTCATAGACTGACTTTTGATATTTCCTTCGTATTTCACAGTTAGGGAGATTTGCATTGTGTTTGTACCTGGCAGTATGTAATTGAGGAATTTGGGGGAGTGGGTTGAGCTATTATAGCCAGTGGATTGAGGTATTGTCTCACATGGCTTTATTTATATCCAACTTTTAAAAAACATTCTGATTCAAATATTTCATTCTATAATGAAAGGTATTTAAGCACCCAAACTGTATTCATAGTGTTTGAGAATACAATCTGTTGCCTCAGGGAAACCAGAATTTTACTATTGAGTCAGTAAACTTAACGGAACTTTGGACATCAGCTCATGCCCCATTATTTGGGGAGTGGAAAATTATGAAGACAATTTTTCTGTAATGTAATTTCATTCTGTTTGAACAAATACTTCAGAAATCCAGCTAGATGTAGTAGTATCGAGAAATAACAGGGTCCCCCCCCTTCCTACATTTGCCATTTGCGTGATCCTGAGCAAGTACTTAACCTTCTGAAACCTTATTTTCTTTATCTGCAAGATGGGGATTGAAAAAAAAATTCATAGGTTTGTAGTGAGGATTAGATGGGATCATGTTTGTAAGCCATTTTTCAAACCAAAAAAGTGTTCTATAAGTAAAAGCTGTCAAATACTAAGTGCTTAAATGCTTTTTCATTCCTTAGTATCATCATCATCGTTATCATCCATGTGTTCCTATGCAGGGGTGTGCCTTCCTCTATTAGCAATTACAACTCTTCCGTGTCTTTGTAGATTATGAAAAAGCCCATCACTTGGTGGCCAGTGTTCTGGTGAGGGGCCTCACTGAACTTAGCGAGGTTGATTCTCATGTCAGACAAAACAGTCTCTCATCATGTTTGCTCTTCTTTGACCCAGTCTTCAAGAGCTTATGGTCCACCCCTCCAGTACCATGGGAGGATTAGAAGTAGGATTAAAAACAACAACAAAATTTTTACAGAAATATTTCTGCTTTGTAGGAAATTAAGCTGGGCAACTTGCTGTGTTCTATATATTCCATCACATTGTAATAGTAATACTGTTTTTCCTGCTTAGGATTTTTCACTTGTCGTCTTGCTTAGATAATTACATTTCAAATGCCAAGTTCACTCATGTTTTAATTAGTGGCTCTTTAATTAATATGCCAATTAAGACAGTGGTGACTTTAAGGTTGCCTCATTTCCTTAACCCAGTCAGTAAAAGTACTAACCTGCTGTTGTGAGGCCTTCAAGCTTAATATAGGTTTACTTTCATTTAGAAATTTTTTTTTCATTCTCTTCCAATTTTTCCAATGTCTCATTTTGCCTAAAATGTTTATTAACATTTCTTGCCATAACACATTTACCCGTAAATTCTTCCGTAAGTGCTATCTGTACTCGAAGAGTAATTCTTTCTGTATGTTAGTGAATTGTGGCTAACTAAGTTGTGACTCTTCATGTCTTTTTCTGTGGTCTTTTAATAAAAATTGAAATGCTTTGGTAGACCTTTTGTTGAGTGTAATCATATTCCCTTTAACACATATTCAAAAGACTATGAATTTTACTCTTTTTTTCAGGAATAATAAGTCCTTATTTTTGTTGAGTACCTACTAAACAGGAACTTTCAGTCTGTATCATCACCATCATCCATGTGTTTTGATTTATAAAATAGCCCTCAGAAGGTATAGGAAAGTTGAAGATGGCCTATTGATTTTCTAGTTGTAACATAAATACCTTAGATTTCCAGTTTTCAAAATATCAAAAAGCAGTGAAATGTATTTGACAGTAAAATTATGCTAAATAAGATTATTTCAGTGGCTTAGTCATTGTCACAAAAAAGAGGTATAGTATCTCAGAGCTAAAAGGGATCAAAAAGATAATTTTGTACAACAAACACTGATGGTGAGCCATAGAAGATAGAGGTAATATGGTATACTGGAGAGAGTTCTACCTCTGGAATCAAAAAACCTGGGTCTGCATTCTCCCCCTGGCACTTTCTAGCTAAGGTGGACAGGCCACTTAATCTCCTTTATTTTTGATTTCTCCATCTGTAAAATGGGGGAGTTGAAATCATGGCCCTTGAAGTCCATTCCACCTGTAAATCTTATAAGCCTTTTAACCCTTTATTAGGATATTGGGCGCTGTCTTGACTATAGTATACCTTGGGAGATGATGTTTTAATTAAGTTTACAGAGTAATAGACTTAAAATCAGAAGGAAACCTAAGGGATGATCTAAATGGACCTTGATAAGAACCTACATTACAGTGTACCTAACAATGCCCATCTATAGAGCCTCTTCTTTGAAGCCTCACCATACTGTGTATCTAACTACTTTTTGAGACAATTTTTTTTTGTGTTTGGATACTTATAATTATTAGGATTGTTTTTTCCCTTAATGCCAAGTGTAAACTTTCTTATATTAATTGATTTCCTGATATTGTTATGAAGAAAGCATTTTGTAAACTTTTAAATAAATATTCTGTGTGAGCCCTCTTTTTACTGTCATTTACTTTTCTCATGAAATGATAGTGCAGAAAATTTCCAATTGTTTGAATTTACTAGTGAGTTGGCTTCTAGATAAGTGAGAGTTTAACATATTCTTAATCAAAATTTCAGTTTGAAGTGGCGTTTGTACCGGCATAGAATTTCTACTCAATGTATCAGGTGTGGAAAATGCTAGACTAAGCAAGCTGTTAGGTTTATTTTAATTACAGAAAAGTACAATCCTTGTGTTTATTATCCACCACATTTCCTATCCTTGTAAGTGACTTTAGGGATTAGAATCCACCTTGAACTTTGTCTTATGCTGACTAATTTTTCAATAAATTCCTCTCCCAGACCATCATAACCCAAGCCCAAGTTTTAATTTGAAATTCAACTCACTCTCCTTGAAAACTTATTTGAAATGACAGTGGTCAATTTTAATACTTAGTAAGATTCACATAAGTGTGAGAAGTAGTTGGACATGGATTAATGCTCCCCACCCTCTTTTTTTTTTCTCTTGAAGGCTATATGTTGAAAGTTGTAGCAAATTGGCACCTCAGCTTGTTTTGTTTTCTAGCAGAACTTTTTCTTCCTCTTGAAAAAAAAGATCATGCAATAAAATTTCGTTTCTTTAATAAGACAAATGAAAAACAAGGATTTTTTCCCCATACTGAAAATCTCATTTCCCCACCCCCTCCAAAAAAAAAAAACTTCTACCAAACTCTATATTATACTTTAAATATAAATGTTAAGTAAAACTAGAAAAAATGGAAACACATAGACATTAGGACACACAGTGTCAATCTCTTCTATTTAGGATTTGATGGCTTGAGTCTTTTAAAAAAATTTTGCAAGCAAAATATTTTTTAAACAATTTTGTTGGGTGTAAAGGAGCCAAGAAAATGGGCAGTTCTCTAGATCATGTACAATAACTTAACAATGCTTGTGATGTTTTTCCCTCCCTCTCTTCTTCTCTTCCCCCCTTCTTCTCTCTGCCCCCTTCTCCTCTTAGAATCACATCGGGAATTCCTTCACAGGCCTGCTTCTGGATATGTGCCAGAGGAGATCTGGAAGAAAGCTGGTAAGAATTGTTTAAAAACATGAGCTTAGTGTTCTGACAGCTGTGTGCAGTTGTTAATGCACTGATGTGAAGAATGACAAGAAAGGACTCACTGCTAACAACAACAACAAAAAAAACCCTTATTTGATATTCTTCAACCAGGCCTGATTAGAACATGAAATAGTCTTTATTATAGCAACATCTGCTAGTGCCACTATAATTGAGGGGCTGTCAATATTTCCATTAGAAACCCCTATTTTCAGGGGGCTATAATGGTTTCAGGCTGAAATGTGGCATACAAGGTCTCAGCTTGTGTGCAGTTTTTCTTTCAGAAAAAAAAAATCTGGCTTTTTAAAAATTAAATTGCATACTTCAGCCTTCTCCGCCTTCCTCACAGCCTCCATATACACTTTTAGAAAAAAGTTCCCATTAATGCTATTTGACCCATTTGGAGGATGGCTTAAAGAAATTTTTGGTTATGTTGAATTAAAATGATTTTAATAGCTAGGTCCTGATAGTGATTAGGGGTGGGGTGGGCTAAGGAGAGACTAAGTTTTTTTAAATGATAAAAGTTTCTGTAATTTTTTTTTTCATGTAAATGCCTTTACTTTATACTCTGTGATAAATCCAGAGTCTTCCAAGATATGTTCACTGACTTGCAGGCAGAAGTAAAGGACTTTCAGATCTGACAGAATCTTAGTGGTATGTTATGTCAGCACCATAACAGCTAAACAGACCATTGTACAAGGCCAGGTGAGGTGACACAGCACAGCTGCTCAAGGAATTGAGAGGTGACGTGAGGAAAGCTGCACCGTAACTAGAACCGGCTGTGGCTTTGAACTGTTGCATCTATAACGTTAAACATAGCTTTGCCTACCTGAGTTAGAGATCTGGGAAGTGCTACATTTACAGGTATTAGACAGGCCACGGTCTGGCAGCAATAATCATGGGGCAGGAGTCAAGTGAGGCCCTTTTTTCCCTCTCCTATAAAAGATTGCTATTTTTGTTTTGATTTGACTCAGCTGTGTTTGCAGTTCCATGCAACTGGCAGCCTCTTCTCTGGGCACTTGGACCTTGTCCATTGTATTTTCATGGATATTTGAAGATTTATCTGTTTTTCTAAGTGGCTGGTACTGAAATTAGGAATCTGATAGTATTCAAGGCTTTCATAGCATCGATTGATAACTAAAAGAGAAGATTTCTTTTATGAAACTCTAGGTTAAATGTTTTGAATACACATAAACACACATATACTTGCTATGCATATGCATATAGCTATGTGTAAGTATATAAGTCTGAGAGTGAAAGGCTTCTTTCTGGCCTGTAGCTTTTTATCATTTCCTTTACAACACTTCTGCTAGTTCTCTTTTCTAGTTGTTATTTTCTGAGTGTACAATGTGGCTCTGAAGCCTCTATGTTATGAAGTTGAGGACACAAGTTGAAGGTGAAGGAAAAACCACTGCAAACCTGAGTTCAACCTCTGAGTCTTAATATCATTGGTTTTAGGCAAGTCATTTAAGTTTGCTGAGCCTCAGTGCCTCGTTCGAGGTTGTGCTCAGCCTCTGAAGTCTTTAGGTCTAGAACTACGAAACTAGGAGCTCTAGTTTACTGGGGTCTTAGCAACAAACTGAACAGCATCCTGGCTTCTAAGTAACATTCCATCGGAATCCAGTAAGAAAGTTTAAGGAATGTGTCAAGTTGTTTCTTTGAATCTTGGGAGTAGTGTAACTTATTCTCTACATCCTAAGACCAGTGGGTTAGTTTCTGTTAGGATGAAGCAGTCATTTTCTCTCCACGTATCCCTATGTAAATTAAGTTCTTGATATCTTAGGGGGAAAAAAAACCCTAAAATAAACTATTGTATAATTCTGTTTCCTTCTGTGCTATTGTCTACTCATGCCTTTGTTTGACTGCTGTTAAGTAAGTGAGAGCAGATTTTCTCAATGTACCACCTTTGTTAGAAAGTCAATTTGAGTAGCTATAGACAAAAGAAGTCTACTTTAAGTGGTAAGCAATTGGAAGCAGATACAAATTCTGTACTTAAGATTTACTACTTTTTCAGTACTTCTCCCATCTTGGACGGAACTGAACCTGGCACTTTTATTTTCCTCTTTCTAGTTTCTCTTCTCTGAAGCCTCTAATGCATATAATTTTGGATTGGGAAGGGGTTGGGGTTGACAGGGTAGGTGATAGAAGAAGAAAAAACACCTTGGTTCAATTTGTGTTGTTGATTTACCCCTCAAAGAAGGAAGGGTTATATGTCACTATTATTGATTTGGTGATGTGTTTAAAGTATGACTTCTATTAATCATTCGGATTAATTTTTATTCTTCTTAAAAGATAACCCAGTCTTCCAGAATACATAAGAAAACTGAAGGAATTCTCATAGTTTGTGAATAAAATGTAATTATAAGATGGTCTGTGACTACTAAAAATTCTAGATCATCTATTATTTAGTAGATTCCTTTCTTGACAGGTTTCTAAACATACTTTAAGTGATAAAATGAAATCATAACACACCTGGCATATTCCATATTAGAGTATATGATGTAAAAAGTGTGAACCCTCCTCTTATCGGGCATTTACCCATACTGTTAAAGCCATTTCAACTAGTAATGATGTAGGAATGTATGTTTATATGCAAATATGTATATATTTATTTTTGCATTCTATATTGTTTGGGGGAAAAATTGGAATGTTTCATTGTAAACCCATAGAAAAACTCAGTGTCCAACTTTTTGCATGAAAAGTCTTATGCCTTCCTTAAGTTTAAGGCAAAATATAAATAATGGAAAGTATAAATAATGCCATTAAATCAAAAAGATTTCATAAGGTATAAAGCAAATTTGGATTGAATTTTAATTCATAACCAGTATACTCCTCTTAACATAAAATGGTAATTACAGGAGATTTTATTATGTACAGAAAGCACATCATACAATTTTTTGAAATCGAAATTTGTAACAAATGGTAAAATTTCTTCCCAACTTTATAAACAACCCTCCAAACCAAACCCCAGAATAAAAAGTCTTTATAAAATTTGAGGCATCTCACATAAAGATGGTTATAAAATTGCGTCTGTATGTTTTCTTCTGTGTATTTCTTTTCAAGTGATCAGAGAATGTTTGCAGTTGGTAATAAATATTCAAGCACCTTGCCAATGTCCTACCAATTCTCTTTGCTGATCTGTATATGCCTGTGGGACTAGAATAGGAATGCATAATTTAAATATAAATTGCCTGATTTGCATACACAATTAGTCAAGCTGCAGCTTTGATCGTAAGCAAAAATTATTGTCCTGTATTGCCACTTAGAATTTTAATTCACCTTGAATATTCAAAGTAAATTAGGCCTTGACTGTATAGTGGAAGAGTAGGACTTACCTCAGCCCTCATTCTCTCCCCTTTTTACCTCCCCCTCTCCTTTGTTCCTGCCATCCTATTCATTTGTGCTTGGATAACGAGTGGAGACGTGAAGAAATGCCGTCAGCTTTTTGGTAATGTTCAGGTTTTGCAAAATTTCCATTTTTAAGGGCATATTTTTTTAAAAACCCATATAATTTTAACATACTTTAGTTAGAATAAGTGCCCTTTAATTGTTCATACCTTTGGGTTTATGAAGTTTAGCTAATATAATTTAAGGAATGCTGCTATAAGAATGCAGGTTACAAGTGTCATGGCAACTGATTCCTAGGTGATAGTTTTTGATGATTTCAGAAGTTCTGAACTGTAGGTATGTCAAACAAAGCTCAGAGTACTAGGCAACCAGAGGAGTACTTGTAACTCTTACATTTTTAATCTACAGTAAAACATTTTTATTAGGAATCTGTGTTTTTAATTAAACAGAACATTTAATTAAGGTGCTTTTTAAGTGGGTGAAACAATTAAGTGCAAACACTTGAATGAAACATGTCATAATTAGTTTTAATAGAGTGTTAATTGGTACTACGTTTGCCAAGTTAATAATTACTGCTTATTAAATTTTCAATTAATCATTGTAATTTTGCTTTGAATAAAGATGAAAATTAGATAAACTAATTCAGAGGGAGGATATTTTCCCTTGTTAATTAGAATAGTTAATTTTTTAAAAGGGAAATGACTTGTAGTTGTCAATTGCATGATTGTACATTAGTAGAATCTTTGCACTCTTTCTGTATCTAAAACTGAATAACAAGTTTGACAGCTTGTGTTTTCTTTCAGTCAGATATGAAAGATGTAAAACGTGAACATTTTCTCGTATGGTACAATGCTGTGATAAAGTATGTTGTATTGTAAGTAAGTTAATGAAAGAAAATGTAGGTGTTTGCTTGAGTAGGGCAATGATTATTTAAAATATGAAAATGGAAAGTATAAGTCAGAAAGCGATGGTAAATTTCTAAATCTTCCTATCATATAGATTGTGTATACCCCTCCCCCTTAATAATTCTCAGGAAATGATTACAGAAGAAGTAAAGCTATATTGTCTGTTTCATCATTGATTTTCTTTAAAAGGTCTGTATTAACCTAATTGCTATTATGAGTTGCCTTTTCAGTATTCTCTATTTCACTCTTCAACTAGCAGGATAATTGCAGTGGGTTTTAAAGGAGATTGTACGTATGTACATACATACATACATACATACATACATACATACATACATACATGGCTTGGTGTGTGTTAGGGAGTGTGTATATGCACACATACATAAATAAATGTATATATACATATTTACGCACATTTCCTCTCTGTTTTGATAAGTGTACAAAGAAATAGGTTATTTAAAAATTTTTACATTATTATTTTTTTGTTTTTTACATTGCCTAAAATCCCCCCTTTACCCTCTCAGAGTGCTATCTCATACAATAAAGACTATCTTTTAAAGAAAAAGAGATAAAAGGGGAAAAATCAACAAAAACAATGAATCCATTGAAGAGTTTGATATCTAAAAGATTTTACACATACACACACACACACCTTCTAACAAATATATAAGTAAAAGGCATTCTTAGATAGGCAGGTGCTCAAATAATATAAGCAAACAGTTCTCAAAAGAAGAATTAGAAACTGTTAATAATCATGTGAAAAAATGTTTCAACTTTCTGTTTTCTATTATACCAGTAACTTATAAAAATTTCAATATGAGGGATACTAGAGGTAATAAAGTAGGGACTCCCAGACTCCCCAGTAGTCCTTAGTAACTGGCATGTTAATTTTGTATTCAAGAAATAACAAATACTTATAAGAGATTAGCCTACCTGCTCTAGGTGACCAAAAGTTTGAAGCAGCTCGATTAGGGAGATTAAGCATTGATATTATTGACCAAAAACTGAACTCACTTTTGTTTGCTGTAGAGTGAAAAGAAAATGCTCATGTGTTTGGAAAACAAAATAATATTGTTGTGTCCAGTGGATAAAATATCACAGAGAAGTTCCAGTAGCTTTTCATTGGATTGTTTCTCAATCTCAAACTCAAGGGAAAAATATCAGTTTTCAGGGCTTTGTGGAATCTTGATACAACTAGAAATGTGTAATCCTCAGATGACTTTGCAGTATGTTTTGCATAGTGCTCCTTCATAGATAGCCATAATCCAAATTGCTGTGCTGATTTGCAGTCTTTCCCTTTGGGGGTTTTGTTTCTTTGTAGAGGAAGCAGTCAATGAGGTGAAACGTCAAGCTATGACTGAGTTGCAGAAGGCTGTGTCAGAGGCAGAGCGGAAGGCCCATGACATGATCACTTCAGAGAGGGCCAAGATGGAGCGAACAGTTGCAGAAGCAAAGAGGCAGGCCGCTGAAGATGCCCTGGCCGTTATCAACCAACAGGAAGATTCAAGTGAGGTAAGACTTTAGTTGGAACCTTGAAAATGGCCCATTACCCAAGGTTTTGAAGGGAAGAAGCTTTAAGATGATCTTTTGTAGCTTGAATTTGGGTATCCATTGAAGTCACAAATGCAGATATGTGTTGGTTTCCCTATCTTGGTCTGACAGTGTATTTAAAATTTTGAGAAAGTTTGGATATGGGTATCAAAGACCAAATGCTGACTGCCACTTGTTTTTGTTAACTATCTGAAATAATAGGCAAATTTGTTCACAAGTTAAGATATTTTGTTGTGTTTTCATAGATGCATTGATACGACTGGATTTTGGTTAACTTCCATAAATTTCCCAGTAACTCATTCTAGATTAGATATCTGTGTTTGTGTATGTCTTCATACCAAAAAGGAATCCAATAATAGAGATGCTTGGTATAGTGTTAGGTTCTCAAAAGATAAGTGAACCAAGTGCTGAAGATGAACATTTTCCTCGATTTGGATGTTTTATGTCAGCTACAGGGATTATATGTGAGCTTAAGGGTGTGGTGAACAACATCTGGTAGGAAGAAGATAAAGTGAAAGAATGATAAAGAATAAGATTGGAATGAAAAGGTAAACCTCGCTGTAGACTTGACAAAGACCAAGGAGCTTTGAAATCTCTGTATGGGAGGGAGGGACGTATGGCAGTGTATGCAACAGGAACTTAGTGATGAAGGAATAATATAGTTACTGCTCATACTGAAGTGTTGGGGGTAACATGAAAGTTCATTTCTTTTAAATGAAGACCTAGAAAAAATGGGGAGCCTACTGAAATATTAAAATTGGTATACAAAAAAAAGAACTTTCATTAAAAAGGTCCCTCTAGTCTAACTCTAATAATATTTTTGTTTCAATTAAATATATTCAAGTGATCTCACGCATATTCTTTATTTCCATATTCTTTGTAATAACCCTTATGATGATCCTTTCTTAGTAGGATGTTGCTATCAGAAAACATTACTCTCATAAACTGTTGTTCATGTACAGTGATTTATATATTTATATGTATAATGGTGCTAATTGCCTAGATGGCATTATCACAAGGATGTAGGAACTGTAGGTGTATAAAACTGTGCTTTTGTACAGTAATCAGAGCAATCTAGTAAAATGCTGTAGTCAAGAGTTGAAGTATCAGAAGCGCCATGAAGGAGCAGCTTCAGTTAAAAGACCACGATTAGCTAGTCACACCAAGCTGAACTAGCAAAAAGCTTGAGCTGATAAATCAATGGCTTGCTACAATACATATCTATAATTTGAGAGAGAGAGTAAGGATTTAATTTGTAGCAGGCTCCTCTAGAGATGAAAGACCCCGCGGGATCACGAGATGCCCAGAGTTTCTGTTTAATGTGTAGCAGATGAATAACAAGGAGACAAAAGGAATTGATTTTCAACATCTGAAAGTTTCTCAGGAAAAGAGAGACGAGGGGAAGTTTATCTACCCTTTAACTACTGACTATTCCATTGCCGAATTAAACCAGACATAAATTCAATTTTATTGACATCTTGTAGCTAAGATATTCAGGAACTTTGTTTTTTTTTTATTAGCTTCTTTGAGGAGAAATGTCTTGCTCTATGTTACAGCAGTAATTCTGTGGTACACTGTTGTTGTTATTAAAACATTATCACTTTCATGGGTACCTTTAGGATCACTATAAATGTTAAAAGTATTTTGGAGGACACAAAGATAAGTGTCTAAGAAGAAACTGTGAATTAGGTTCTTGCATTCTCGAAGTAACATGTTATCTCCTTTCAGGATTCATAGGTTTCCTTTAGCCCCAAAATATGGACAAAAGAATATGTAACCATGTGTTGTGTAGTGTAAAGAGTACCCTGGAAGTCAGAAGATGTTGGTTCTAATCTAGCCTCTGCAGCTTGCTGGTTGTGAGACAAATCAGCTAGTTTGGACAGATCAGTTCACCTCCAGGCTTCACAGTTAACCTCCTATATAAAATGAGGAGGTTTAACTGGGTGAACTGTAAGGCCACTCCCCTCTAGCGCCTATGACACGTAACATGTGACCTCTATAACACTATTTCTTAGTGCTGATGTTTCATGGAATGACTGAAAAAGTAGTGGAGGATCACTGTTTTGTTGTTTTTTTTTTTTCCTCAGAGTACTTCTGCCCTATGATTCTTTTTTTCTTGTTGGGAATCTTCAGTAAGAATTAGTTGTTCCTGAAAGAATGTGAGCTTCTTGAGGGGGAAACTGATTCTTTTTGTTCTTACATCCCAGGCATTTAGCATACTGCTCAGCAGTTAATAAATACTTGTTTAATAAATTCATCCTTTGATTTACCGCCTATTCTTTCTCATGACTTCTGCAAAATTTAGTGCCTCTTAGGCTCTGTACTTTTAATTCCTTTGGATGATATCAAGTCCCACTTCCTTCGTTTTTCTCAAAGGCTATTTTTGTTGATTCTTAGACCAATACTTGTCATTTTGGTCCAGACATACCTATACTGCTTTGCTGGCATGTGCTTTACCTTCATTCTGATAGCAAGATTTTCATTTTGACATTTGTGGATAATTATTTAATTTGTGGTTGTTCAGTCATTCTGACTCTTCATTATCTCAATTGGGGTTTTTCTTGGTAAAGATACTTGAGTGGTTGGTTGGTTCCCTTTCCAGCTCATTTTACAGATGAGGAAATTGAGGGTTAAGTAACTTGACAAGGGACACACAGCTAGCAAGTGTCTGAGGCCAAATTTGAACTTGGGAAGATGAATCTTCCTAACTCTAAGCCTAGCACTCTATCCACGGCACCAATTAACTCCCCAATTATTTGATTAATAGACACCAGAGTTAGCAAAGAAAAGCAGAGAATTTGTACCCTAAGCCTGTAATTTTATAAACTGGACCTATTTCTTACCAGAAGAAAATTGATTACCTTTAAAATGCCCAGATGTTCAAGTAGCTAGGTGGCATAATGGATAGAGCACCAGCCCTAGATTCAGGAGAACCTGAATACAAATCTGGACTCGGACATTTGACACTTAACTAGCTGTGTAATCATGGGCATGTCATTTAACCCAATTGCACGCGTGCGCGCCCCCCCGACCCCCCCACAAAAGAAAGAAAAAAAGCCTAGATTTCTTTCCTTCCTCATCATTATTAGAAGTCTCATTTTTTTCGTCTGCAAAGTAGGTTGGGGGAGAGGGGGAAGGGATGTTGTCCAAGGTTATCATCCAGCCTGAAATAGAATATTCAGTACATGAAAAACACTTTGAAAACCTGTCGAGTGCTGTTAAAAAAAATAGTATTAAACTTTCTCCAAATGGATTCTGCTACATTTGGAAGGAAAGGGATGACGTTATGAAACCCCACAAACATTAACAAGTAGAGGTCAGGTCAAGAAAAGAGGAAGATGGAGTCTGCTTCCCATAGGATTGTGAAAAGTCTGTATATAGGATCAATAAGAAATGCAATATGGACAGGAAAGTCAGCAGCCAGATTATAGAAAGCCTTCAAAATGACACCACTTTGTACTCCACCAAACATTTTTCATCTCTCTCATATGGTAATTTTATTTTTCTACTTAAAATACCTAAGTGTGTTTTCCCATTAAACTACTTGGTGATCTTAAATTAGTCCTCCAGCTTGCTTCTGGGCCTGTAGTCCGTTAGTCATTGAGAAGGATTGTGAATAAGAAAGTAACCAATAAATTAGCCCTGTGCAGCAACAGAAGTGGTATTCTTTCACATTGACTTTGTGTCCCCACTGCTTTGATTGGAAGTGGGACCTCAGCCAAAGACCCAAAGGTAAACTACTCGGCACCAGGAGACAGCTGTGAGTTTGGAGTCACCAAACTGATGTGTACATGGCAGCCGTAAAACTGTCACCTTCCAGCCTCCATTTACAGAGAGATGAACTGAACACAGTCTACTTGAGAATGGCAATTCAGTGGCCCTTCTGAAGTAGTGGTATTGAACAAAGGTATCTCCTTAACATTGCCAGAGGCTGCTAAGTCCTGATAGTGGGAACGTGTAGTGTCCGGTAATTTACACTTACTTCAAGGATCAAAGGGCCGGCACCCAGTAGGTTCCAGGGACTGTAGAAAACTGCATAGAAATAGATGACTTCTTTAGACTTGGTAATGAAGAACTTTACAGGGTAGGACCTGGTCAGTTGTTTAGAAATCTATTCAATGTAGGCAATTTGAAATTAAAATAGAACCTAGGGGAAAAAGAGTTTTGATATTCTGTAGCATTAACATTAAACATATGTAATTAATTTTTGCGTGCGTGCGTGCATGTGTGTGTGTGTGTGTGTGTGTGTGTGTGTACTCAAATATATAAGTACACACCTATCAACCATAATTTATAAAAAAAAAAAAAGAAAGCAACTCTGCACATGAGGCAGCACTTTAGGTGGTGGGGATGTTGTGCTCTTCCCTTCCCCTTACACACACACATACAGAGAGAGAGAGAGAGAGAGAGAGAGAGAGAGAGAGAGAGAGAGAGAGAGAGAGAGAAGAATGAAACAATTCCTACTCACAAGAAGAATACATTCTAAAAGAAAAAAAATATATAAATAAAAAGAGAACAAATGCAAATAAATACAAAGTAGTGAGGGGGAGAGTGCATACATTCACTAGCAGTTGTGGGAATTAAGAACAGAAGGTGGTGTTTGTGCTGTACTTTTAATAGAGGGTTGTGTTTTGGGGGGTTTGGTTTTTTTCTTTTTCCCGACCTGGAGCTGAGGGTTGAGAGTATATTCCAGGCATAGAACAGCTCCAGGCATAGAACAGCCTGTGCCAAGGGTATAGAAATGGAAGGTGTGGTGCTATGTGTGAGGAAGAGAGAAGAGGACAGTTTGGTTGGATTGTAAAACACATATGGGGAAGTAATGTAGAATGAGTCTGGAAAGATAGGTTGGCTGAAGGCATTGATGGACTTTTAACACCAAATACAATTTCTGTTTTATCTAGGAAGCTTATGGGGAGCCATTGAAGTTTGAGCAGGGGAGTCACATGGTCAGAGGTATGCTT